CTTTGTGATCAGATCTTTTGTTGTTGCAATGTTCTCTGAAAGTGTAATTTGAGTTTTATTTTATTGCATCGCTATACACAGCTATGAACGTTTTCAATCTTTTGACATTCACTAATATTTAAATGGATTTTCATATTGATTGTAAGATCATTCTACAAAAGATTATGGAAACGATTCAAGAACTATTCATGCAACCAATTTAGGATTAAATGCCACAGACCTGACAAATCAATGCAAAGACGATATAGCAATGTAAAAGGAAAAGAGTTAGACATCCTGACAGTGACAACAGGTAATGTGATACAATATAAGTTGAGAGTCAGGTATCAATAATGAGCAAAGCAAAACATTTTATGCTTGCATGTAAAAATAAACCCTGTGTGTGTACGTGTGGGTGTGTGTGCGCGCGTGTGTGCGATAAGAACATAATAATAATCTGAACAATTCAACTTTCTGATACTCTTGTACACAGAGGGAGGTAGATTGATTCTCTGCCCTGGTGTGAAGCTGATGACTAACAAAACGGCTCGTTTTCTCTTTTGGCTTCTGACAGCACTGGTGTGGCTGCGGGCTCTAAAACCACGGATACACTCTGCGGTTTATTTTTGAACTGTCCAAGGTCATTGTTCGGTTTGACAGATCACAGAGGCAGGAGGGGATCGTATCCTCACACCCCTATTCAATGTTAGCATCAGCCGCGTCCTGACCCTCTCATGTGGGGTTATAGCTGGCACACACTCAGTACGTGTGTGTGTGTGTGTGTGTGGTCTTGCTGTGCCATACTCAGGCCGAGGCGAATAGGAGGGTGGTACGGGGGATCAGGGATGACAGAGAGCAGGCACTCTTTGATCCTCATGCTGCGCTGAAGTGTGTTATAGTGAGCAAATTATCTTTCATGTCTGTCTCACATGCCAAAGTGGATCCACAGTTTTGTCGTCCACAGATGTGAACGGATCTCGCACACTTTCATCGTAGCTTGATGGCAACGTGCAGACATAACAAATGTGTTTTCTTGTTTTAGGCTTGTGTATTTTTGTCATTGTTGATACCTTTCAACAAGTTGAGTTTAGATCTGTAATTCTTACTGAAAATTAAAGGGAACCTTCTCCTTAAAAAAGATTTCACAATGTGTTTTTGTCACAACATATACAAGAACCAGCGGCAATGATATCCACTTCGAAATAGAATAGAAGATGCCAAAACAGATATACAGTGCAGATGTACCCA